TGAGGGTTGCTAGGACCCATCGGGGCTGCATAATCACGATAATTCAAACTGGCTTCTCATGATGCTTTGACGGTATTGACGCGAGTTGGTGCAGCATGCTGTACATGTCCCGGAATGCCAAACTTCAAAGAACACTCCGACCAAGTCTTGCAGCAACGGATATACTCATGGGGTCACGGTTCCTTTGCGTTTCTGCCACAGGCTGGACTGCTGGAATGTGAATGAAGCTGTTGATGTTCCAGGGCTTCGCACGCAACCAATGATGGGCCCTGCCGACGATCCAAATGCCTGCAAGGAGACGCATGGAAAACATATGAAAACATGGGTTGTGGAGAGGAGAAGCTCATAACTGGTCAATTCCCCTGAGTCATTTGAGGCCACCTGTTCACCTGACAGATTCCCGAACATCGAACAACAAGCAATCGATGGCCAAAACTTGCAAGATTTCGTTGGGATGCGCTGCATTCACGGCTGGCAGTGTGGCTCTCATTCAATTCAGTCATGTGCATCCACCACATAAGCCAAAACGTCGTGCTGTGGCGAAAATCCATCAGCCAATAGTGGTTGTTTTTTGGACTGTAACTTCACTCCAGCCCGCCTTTCTGGCATTGCGACCATCTTCTTGGCACTGGTCCTTGGCCACGGCCGACACATGTTCACAGTGGCCGCTCGGTTTATTGCTCGACATCAAAAACCATGAATCGTTGCATGGGATCTTCATGGAAGGGGCCACAAGCGGGGTATGTCGCAAAATACTCCCCAGTACTCAAGACCGTGCTTGACTGCTTGACCCACCCCGCCGGCTGATTGTACGTACGCAAGACATTATCAGGAAACACATGGGCACCACGACTTCACGGGAAACATCGGTGACAGCGTTGGCGATGGTGTCGACATGTGGCTTTTGTCGGATTCAACTCCGTATGGTTTGAACTGCGTAACTTAGGAAGCAAGTGCATTGCCGACACAAGTGGCTTCAGTCTGTACGTACAGTCGAAGTCTCAGACCCGCGGTGGAAACGCGATATCGATGATAAGCAGCACAGGTGGCAACGTTGTTATAAAGAAGCAAGTACACCCCAACAACTCTGGAACCAAGCCACGGGTGCGAAATCGAAGACCACGGAACGTCGTGGCCCGTCGCTGCCTTGCACTAAGCAAATCATCGGGCATCAGTCGCTCATGGCCATCGCCGCTACTGAACTACAACACTGAAGCACAACTGCATGAGTAGGTTCAGTAGGTTGCCGGAACATGCTCAACCCCATGCCGTTGCAATTGAATGGTTTGTGCCTGCACACAGGAAATTATCAACACTGTGTTTCATGCTGTTGCAGCATTACATACAGTAATACAGTACCAGGCAGCATGCCATGAGACGTCGCGTTGCACAATGACTTTCGGATCCGCTAGCGTAAACCGACATTGTATGTTTGATATTAGCAAACCAGTACCGGTACTTCAATCATCCATCGTATGCTCATGTGTAAAGCAACCCTTCCCAACAAACCGGCATGCCCGACGACGAGTACCTCTTGTCCTTGTCGTCCGTGAGCTGCAGTAAAACAGGTCTTTCATGGACAGGGTCGGGCGAAAGCGAACACTGCAAATATGCACAAGTTATGTCCCGTGGTGACTCTCTCTTCAAGTTTTCTGAAAATATGTTCCGCACACCGTACACGGAAACCATTATGTACATGCCTCTGTGCATGTCTCTGTTGATGGCACGTGCTGGCTACATCCCACATACGCACACATACACGCAGATTTGCTTACTTACTTACTTATACTTGTTTGGCACTCGCGCTCGACCAGGTCAGGCTTACTTACATGCTTACATGCATGCATACGCCCCATACTATGACAGACCATGCCATGCCATACCATTCAATTTTCCCATCCAAGCCCTGCAGCCCAGACATTTCCACTGGGCGGCAGGCGTGTAGGGGTCACCAGAGGCCTGCATCCGAGAGTCCAGACACACAAGCGTGAAAGCTATGGAAAGCTACCGAGCACACTTCCTACGTGGTCCCTGCCAAATCCAGCCTGTCATCCGTGTCAAGCGTGTCAGACCCTGCCTCGCATGGGACATCTTTGCACATATCGGCATTGAAAACTGATGCACTGCTGCAAAGTATATTGCATGGTCTTTCATGAGAGGGCCCATCAGATCTGCACATGTGGGGATTGCTGGCTGCGCTGACGGCTAAACCTTGGTGCAAGTCCCACCTCGATGCTGGCAGATCATATGCATTTGTCTGATGCTATTGCTTTTATTTAAAAAAAATATATATATATATATATATACATACACAGAAAGCGTCGCACTGCAGGCCCGTGTTTTGAAGCTTTCTTTTTCTCCATACTATAGGCTAGGATGTTGCAAGAGTATTGCATCTATTTGTTTCTAAGCATACAAGTAAAATTATTGAACCAAGACATATGTTGTCTGATCTGAAAGCTCCTGCAGGAATGACGCGCGTGGATAGTGTCTGCAAAAT